ACCTCGCGCTCAAGTAGCCAAGGGGCTGGAGGCTTCTTCCTTTCTCATCCTCTTTCTTTTTTCTCTCCACCCCCAAATCTTTGAAGACGATCATCTTGTGCAGCTGATTTCCCTCCAAAACGCAGATGGGTCCTGGTGTCTGAATGAAGGTCTGGCCGTGGTTCTAGGTGTGAGTCTGGAAGAGATTCTGGCTGCGCTCCCTCTCAAGGTGAGACTCAGAGAAGAAAAAGGGGCATTTGCATTTTGAGAGGTCGGGGTCAGTAAAGAGAATTGGGGTGAATCACCTGAGGAAGGAGAGTACAGGGGATCATAGACTAAATAACGTCTAACGCGTGGAGGTGGAAGGATGCTTCAGGGTGGGTGAGAGCAGGAGGAAGGGCACTGATGATCTGGCCAGTGGGAGCTGGGGCACGGCAGCGGGACGCAGGGACTCCCTTTACTTCAGCTGATCTCTGCCAACTATGATGGTTGGGAACTGTGACTGTTCCCTGAGCAACTACTCTGTGCCACACACAGCGCTAAGCACTTAACATTCATAATGTTATTTATTCATCACAACAATTATAAAAGGTTAGTTTTATTTATGTTGCCGTTTATACATGTAGAAAGGAAAAGCCAGAGAAGTGTAATAATGTATCTACGTTTACCTAGCAGTTAGGGGCAGTGTGGCTTCAGTTGCAGGACCGCAGACCTGTAGAACTCACATCATTGCTCCTCTTCCTAAGGAAGTGGTCCAGAAATTAGCCACATCAAAGTTAGCGAATGTGAAGTATAAACAGGAATGATCTAATTATTTCAAATGTGTTCAAGTCTGCCGATGAGGACAAATTGTGTTCCAGAATTTCAAGGTAGCTTACTCACTGAGATATTGTTAAATGCAAGACAATGCCAAAATGTGAAGGACAGTAATTTTGAATTTACAAAATGCGGAAGGTGATTAAATAAACTTCAGATATCCTGTCACTACAACAACCAGTACAGTATCTATTACTCAGATGTGGCTATTAAGCTCTTAAAATACAGCTAATGAAATGAGGAACTAAATTTTTTATTGAATTGAGGCGTGCTATAACTATGAAACACATTGTGATTTTAAAGACTTAACATAAAAAATAATGTAAAATATTTCATTAATACTTATTTTTATTTTAATTATATGTTAAAATGGTAACTAAATATACTAGGTTAAATAAAATATATTATTGATAAAATAATTATACCTTTTTATGTTTACCTTTTTACAGGAGGCTCCTAGGATACTTAAAATTATGTATCAAGCACTATATTTCTTTTGAAAAAATACTGTTCTAAAACAGATAATTACAAGGATAATTTATAAATTTGACTAATGCATATAATGAATTTATAAACAGTTAAAAGAAAATATTAAGGATCATGAAGTTCTACCTTGGTTTCATTGAGAACAAGTCATGTCACACTAACATGTTCTTCTTTGACGTGGTATCTTGGCCAATAAATCAAGGGATTGAAGAGCCCTGGTGTATGTGAATTTTAGTAAGAGATTTCAGTTTTTCTTAATGATTAGTATATTGGCTGATTACAAACTAGTTGAAAACCCACAGTACTGAATAATGAATTTATTCAAACTTAAAACATATTTAGACCCACCAGGCTCTGAATTCTCTGGCAGTTCATATTTTTGATGAATATTTAGGTAAAGATATACACCAATGGTCTCCTATTTGTATATGACAAACCTGGAAAACAGTGTGATGGACAAGAAAATCAAGATCCCAAAAGACCTGAACAGTGACTTGAATTAAAAAATAATAAAATTAGCAGAAACAAACATACTAATATTCCTTCTAAATTCTCAACTATACAGTAGAGAATAGAAGCAAGGTGACTGAAGAGTGCTTACACATGCAAGTTAGAGATTTTGGAGGACAGAAACGTAATATGAGTCAGCATATTTGAAACGTGATTAGTTGAGGACAATAGGATTGTCAGGAAAGCCATATATATCACATAATTTGGGACTGGAGTTAGAATTTTATAAGTATATGTTCCTCCAGATGTGACCATTTAAAGAGATATTTTTCAGAAATTACTGTGTTTGTCCCTCTGCTAGGAGAACAAACAGGGATCCTTATTGCCTTGACACAAATCCTCTTAAGGGAGAATTCAGGGAACTGAGAATTGTGATCTGAAACAAGACTGCTCAGAGGACATGGTGGATATGTCCAAACTTTAAAGGTCATGCTATAAAAAAAAGAGGAATTTCTGTTCTTGGATGAGACGTTCTTTTGAGCTATATGAGCAGTATGACAGGAATCAGAATGTCTGGTCTCCAGTTCCAGCTCCGTCATGTGCTAGAAGACCACCTTGGGCAAATCATTTCACTTTTGTATGAATCAGCCTTCGCTCTTAAAAACGTGGCTATTGATAATTCTGCATTTTTGTTATCATTTTGGCGAGGGTTCCCATAAAAACATGAGCATGCTTTAGAAAATATAAAGCAACTGTGCATATGATTTTTTTTGTTTTCATTGTAATCCCAGCTGGCTGATCCTTGTTGGGGTGTTTCAGGAGTTTCAAGCACTGTCCTGGTGGTTATACTGGATTCCAATTGTAAAACCTTTTACCCTAAGACCCAGTGGATTGTTGCCCTGAGGTTTAGGGCCTGGCATTATGCCACAGAAGTCATAAGGGAGGTTGGGGAGACCAGGTGACCTCACTTGGTAGCCGCTGGGGTGCAGGTGAGTGAGGCGAGTGGAGGCCTCAGGGAAGCCTCTGTCTGCTGCAGGGCGCGGACACCTCGGGCTGGGCCACGGTCCTGGCAGTGCTCTGGCTGCATGGCAACCGTGCGGACGTGAAGTGTGAGTGGGAGCTCCTGGAAAGGAAGGCTGTGGCCTGGCTTCACGCTCATGCAGGTAGGAGCACGATCCTAAGGCCCCATGTCCTTCCCCCCTTAGGAAGCTCGGCATCTCTCCAGACTTTGAGCCTCCTGGCCCCAGAGAGGGGAACCAAGAGAGAAACCCCATCGTCCTCTGACCCGACCTTCCAGGCCCAGACGTTTTCGGGTCCCCAGCTAGTTCTTCCCTTGGCGGGGTGAGGGTGCAATCCTAAATTGGGGGAGGCGGGGAAGTGGGTAAGGAAGGAAAGGGACATGGATGGGAGTGAGAATCATGAAAGGGACGTGAAGGGGCCCTGACGCCCTCTCCGTGGCAGCAGTGTCCTGAGCGCAGGGCTGTGCTGGGAGCATTTCCTCCCGAGTGTCCCACCTCCCTGCTGCTGGGCTTCCTGGGCCAGAGGAGAGCCAGGGAGTCTGGGCAAGGAGAAGGGAAAGTCAGGGGCAGTGAAAGAAGATCACAGCAGGGTCAGGGGAGACGCCCAGGGAGGGTCAGGGGAGACGCCCAGGGAGGGTCAGGGGAGACTTGAGAAAGGCCTTTACTGGCACTGTTGTCCCTCAGCCCCGATGTTCCTTTCTCCTCCTAACAGGCGCCCACACGCATGAGCTTGTGAAGGCTGCTATTGATTTTCTGAAGTCCTCTGTTGATCCTGCCGTTTTTGCCCCATGAGCATACCCATCAGCAATGCAAGTGCCTCTTTTCACGCTACTGTTTTCTCCTTTACACTTTCTTCTGCTGGAATGTGTTTGTATTTTACACCCACGCTGACAGTTTCTTGTCATAAAGGTAAAGGACGTCCACCCTGCCTGGCCTCTGTGTGCCAGGCTCCCTGCGGCTGTGGCTTCCTGTCCCCACATGTACCCTCAGCCGCGCGGCATGGCCCCAGAGCCTGCTCCCTCTCTGGAGGGGTTCAAAGGCCCTGAGGTTCCTCCTAGGTTTTTCAGAGTGACAACATGAAAAGCAAGTGACAACATGAAAAGCAAGTGACAAGGGCTCCAGACTGGAGAGTGCAGACCGATGTTCGGGAATGCCTGAGGGAGGATGCTCTGCATTATTTTGTCTCTTCACTGTGGCTTTAATATATTTGTGAGGACAAAACTGGGGAGCTAGACGGTTTTCTATCTGAGATAGGATGAAGAGTTGGAGGAGAGGTTGAAAACCAACACTGGGATTATTAGGACCTCAAGATGACAAAGAGAGAGGCTCAAGGACCCACTGTGAGAGTTGGCCCTGTGGGGACCTTCTTGAGTGGCTCTGGTTGGGTTTTGCTACCCTACTGCATTCCTTCCCTCTCGCCGCCTATAGCTGAGTCATATCTGTTGGAGACAGATGTTTCTTCTTGCTCAGGACACATCTAGGAAGAAGGAAGTAACGGAATCCTCAGTCCTAACCAGAACCGTGCGACCTCTGGACCAGGCTCTGTTGGTAGGCTATGAGAAAAGCAAATGTAGAGGCAGCTTTGCCTGAGACCTGAAACCTGGGTCACTCACCCCCAGAGACAGGAAGGAGCTCCCCATGATCATTTCTGACCTTTATGTCCCACATACTCAATCCCAGTGGAAATGACCCTATTTGATGTATTGTTCCTTAAAGCACTGTTGTATCAATAATAAAATGACTCTCTCTGCACTGCACTGTGTTGTACCTGATCTTTTGTAGATTTATTCATTGAACGTGCATTGGATTTCTCATCCCTCATTTCCCTCCAACTTTTCTGATGCCTCCAGTGTCCACATTGTGTCCTGTCCCCATGTCTCCTGTTGAGGCTGACTCCCTGGTAAAGGGCACCAGTCAGGAAAGCACTGTTGGAATCCCGACCGTACCCTTAAATAGTTATGGGATGATAACCAAATGGTTTAACCCCAGGAACTTAGGATCCCGTCTATAAAACTAATGATTAAATTGGAACTGGGTGACGACTTTCACCTGGAATACTCAAGCATTCCGAGCAAGACATCAGTGTCTGCTCACTGAGGTAGAGGATGGCCTGGACCAGAGTTTCGTGAAATTTCTTAGTGACCTGTTATTAGGAAGATTTGCCTGATTTTCATAGTGAAGACTGATGTCCCAGGAGTTTCCTCCGAGTTTGCTTGTGGCTGTGAGTGACCTGTGGAGGGCTTGTTAGAGAAGCCGGCTTTCAGGCACCCACACGAACTACTTCAAGTCTTCATTCTAACAAAGTTCTCCAGGTAATCGATATGACACTAAAGTTCACGTGCGAGTTCAGTCTTTTCATGAGAATGGCTTGCGTCTGAGTCTAACACATTTATAGGCCATATTGATGTGATGATGACAGACAGTTTCCTGAGGGTCAGAAATGTGTAGAGCTGCCCCTGCACACAGAAGATGGCCCTTCCCACGTACTACTCGGAGCCTGTGCTGCTACAGTGACTGTTTACCTCCCTTTTCCACCCTCCTGCTTCCAGACTGGGACTGGGCTTGAGGATTTCTAAAGCAAAATCAAAACGAACAAAGAACAACAAAAAAAGTCTTGATTCTCTCTTTATAACACAGAATCAACGGCAGCTTTGAAGTATTGTGGTTTTATTTTTCATTGAGCTCTCATGCAGTGAAATCTACCGACTGTACATTCCTCAAATCTAAGCCAGTGTCAACCTTCATAATCAGCAGACGTGTTTACTGAAGCCCACTTTCAGGGCTTGCTGCTTCATGTTTTAAGAAAATATAAAGCACCATCTGTGCTGTCGTAAACTGGTGGTCTGGGCAAGGAGCCCAAAGGAATCTGTTTCATCTCCCGTTGGTTGTCCTCATCCTCCAGTTGTTTCCTGGCTTCTGCAGGTTTGGCTACAAAGGAATGTCAGATAGCATCCTCTCGAGATCCACCTGCTCAGACTGAGCCAGTGCTCCCAGTTCAGGGCACCATGCTCTGCATCCACTGGAGAATGAAGCCCATTGCCTGCTTTCCCCAATTCCAACACAGCCATTCTGTGAATCATTTAGCATTTGCTGTTCTCCCAGCTCCCAGACACTGCTTCCTTAAAAACAGCCCATGTGTTTAAAGTATCTGATTGTCTAGAAAAAAAACAAGAGACAACCCATGAAATGAGTTAACTTTATGTATTCTGTGTCTTTTTTTTTCTTTTGTTCTATCAATTTTGCCTCAGTATTTTGATGTTTTCTTATTAAAGATATACATATTTAAAATTGATATCTTCTTGGAGAATTTGACACTTTTATCATCATGTAATATTTACCTTATCCTGATGATTTTTCTTGTTTTGAAATCTGTTTTGTCTAAAATGAATATAGCTACTCCAGCTTTCTTTGATTAGAATTAGCATGGTATATATTTTTCCATCTCTTTTTTTCTTTTTAAATAATTTTGATTACAATTAACATACAATATTATATTAGTTTCAGGTGTATACCATAGCGATAGATATTTAAATAATCTACAAAGTGATCACCCTAATAAAGCTAGTACCCATCTGACACCATATATAGTTATTACAGTATTGTTTACTATATTCCCTATGCTGTACTTTAAAGCCCCATGACTCTTCTGTAACTACCAATTAATGTTTCTTAATCCCATCACCTTTTCATCCCATTCCCCCAACTTCCCTCCTACCTGGCAACCATAAAAATGTTTTCGGTATCTATGAGTTTGTTTCTGTTATGCTTGTTGGTTTAATTTGTTTCTTAGATTCCACATTTAATTGAAATCATCTGGCATTTGTCTCTCTCCATCTGACTTATTTCTCTTAGCATAATACCCTCAAGGTCTATCCATGTTGTTGCAGATGGCAAGATTTCATTTTTTTTATGGCTGTCATATTCCATTGTATATATGCACCACTTCTTTATCCAATCATCTATTTTTAAAAAATTTATTTAATAAGGTGACACTTGTTAATAAAATTATATAGATTTCAGATGTACAATTGTATAATGCATCATCTGTGTATTGTATTATGTGTTCATTACTCCAAGTGAAGTCTCCACTTAGGTTGCTTCCATATCTTAGCTTTTGTAAATAATGCTGCAATGAACATATGGATGTATATGTCTTTTTGTTTTAGTGTTTGAGGTTTCTTCAAATAAATACCCAGAAGTAAAATTGCTGGGTCCTTTTTTGTTTCTTGTTATAGCCTGTAATTTAAAGTCTATTGTGTCCATGTATTGCTACCCAACTTTATTTGTGTATTTGTTTTTATTTCCATTCCATTCCTTTACTGTGTGTGTCTTTCTATCTGAAGGGAGTTTCTTGAAGAAAGCATGTGTAAAGGTCTTGTTTTTTTATCCATTCAATCACCATATATTTTTTGATTGGACTATTTACTCCATTTGCACTTAAAGTCATTGTTGGCATATATGGATTTATTATCATCTTATTATTCGTTATTCTTTCTTCTTGTTAAAGACGACTCTTTAACATTTCTTATAATACTGGCTAGGTGATGAAGAACTCTTTTAGCTTTGTCTTGTCTGGGAAGCTCTTTACCTTTCCTGTGTTTCTAAATGATAACCTTGCTTGGTAGAGTAATCTTGGTTGTGGGCCCTTGTTTTTCATCACTTTAAATGTTTCTTGTCAATTCCTTTTGGCCTGCAAAGTTTCTGCTGAGAGATCAGCTAGTGGTCTTTTGGGAGCACCCTTGTAGGTAACTAACTGCTTTTCTCTTGCTGCTTTTAAGATTCTCTCTTTGTTTTTATTTTGTTATTTTTATTAATTTGTTTTTGTTACAGATGTTTCTCCTTTTTCCCCCATTGAAACCCACCTCCCCATCCCCCCTGCCCCATTCTCAGCTTTGTTGTCTATGTCCATTGCTCATGCATACATGCATGTAAGTTCTGTGGTTTATCTCTTTGTTTTTAAACTTTGGCATTTTAAGTATGCTGTGTCTTGGTAAGGGCCTCTTTTGGTTCAACTTTTTTGGGACTCTGAGCTTCTTGGACTTGTATGTCCCTTTCTTTCACCAAGTTAGGGAAGGTTTCCATCATTATTTTTATTAAATAGGTTTTCAATTTCTTGGCCTCTGTCTTCTCCTTTCAACAACTCCATTGTGTAAATATGTGTACACGAAGTGATCCCAGACTCTTTTTTTTTTAGAGCTCAACAATGTAAATTTTATTTCATCCCTTTTATTTTCTATATTGACTTTATTTTTAAATTTTTTTTATTAAGTAATATTTGTTACAGATGTTTCTCCTTTTACCCCACTGATTCGCCCTTCTCCCTCCCTCCCTGCCCTGTCCCCAGTTTGTTGTCCATGTCCACTGTTCATACATACATGCATATAAGTTCTGTGGTTTATCTCTCCCCCACTACCCCCTCTTCTGGGGATTGTCAGTCTGTACCCCACTGCCACGTCTCTGGGACTACCCCATTCCTCAGACTGTTATGTTTATTATATTTCACAAATAAGTGAGATCATATGATACTTGTCTTTCTCTGTTTGGCTTGTTTCACTTAGGATGATACTTTCCAGGTCCCTCCATGTCATCTCAAAGGATAAGAGATCTTTCTTTCTTACAGCTGCATAGTACTTCATTGTGTATATGTACCACTGCTTTTTTATCCATTTGGCTATTGATGGACACTTGGGCTGTTTCCAGGTCTTAGCAATTGTAAATAGTGCTGCTAAAACATGGGGGTACATATATTCTTTCTGATTGGTGTCTCAGGCTTCTTAGGGTATATTCCTAGAAGTGGGATTGCTGGGTGAAATGGAAGTTCAATTTTTAATTTTTTGAGGTGACACCATATTGTTTTCCATAGTGGCTGCACCAGTCTGCATTCCCACCAGCAGTGTACTAGAGTTCCCTTTCTCTATACCCTCGAGAACACTTGTTGTTTGATGATTTGTTGATGATGGCCATTCTGGCAGTTGTGAGGTGATACCTCGTTGTTTTAATTTGCATCTCTCTGATGACTAATGATGATGAGCATTTCTTCATATGTCTCTTAGCCATTTGTATGTCCTGTTTGGAGAGGTGTCTATTTAGTTCCTCTGCCCATATTTTAATTGGGTTTTTTGTCTTCCTTTTGTGGAGTTATATGAGCACTGTATATATATTGGAAATTAACCCCTTATCTGATATATCATTGGCAATTATGCTCTCACATACAGTGGGTAGCCTTTCTGTTTTGATTGTATCTTTCACTGTGCAGAAGCTTTTGAGTTTGATGTAGTCCCATGTGTTCATTTTCTCCTTTGTTTCTATTGCCTTAGGTGATGTATCAGTGAAAATTCTTCTGCGTATGATTGTATGAAATTTTGTTGCCTACAGATTCTTCTAGGATTTTTATGGATTCATGAGTCACATTTAAGTCTTTTATGTATTTTGAGTTTATTCTTCTGTAGGGTGTAAGTTGATGGTTTAGTTTCATTTTTCTGCATGTGGCTGTCCAATTTTCCCAGCAACATTTATTAAAGAGGCTGTCCTTACTCCACTGTATGCTCTTGACACCTTTGTCAAATATTATTTGAGCATATTGCCTTGGGTCCATTTCTGGGTTCTCTGTTCTGTTCCACTGGTCTATATGTCTGTTCTTGTGCCAGTACTAGGCTTTTTTGATAACAATGCCTTTGTAGTATAACCTGAAATCTGGTAATGTGATCCCTCCAACTTTGTTCTTCCTTTTCAAGATTACTGTGGATATTCGAGGTCTTTTTTGGTTCCATATGAATTTTTGAAGTACTTGTTTTAATTCTGTGAAGTATGCCGTTGGTATTTTGATGGGGATTGCACTGAATCTATAGATTGCATTGGGCAATATGGACATTTTAATGATGTTA